TGCGTTGAAAGCCGCGGGGGACGGCAGGGGGGCGGGTGTGTTATGTAGGAGAAAAAAGCCCGTCAATGGCATCTTGAATGTAGCGATCCGCGCACCGGGAGAGGGTGCCCTCGCACCGGCAGAGGGTCGCACCCGCTGCTACGGCATGTCCAGCTGAAATCACCGACGGGGCTGGCGGAGGTTGAGCTGCCCTTTATTCCTCCGTGGTGGTCCTGTAGGTATTTTTCATAACAGCAGCGTGGACAAGGTTGCCTCGTTCTGCCTCCACACCTGAGGGCAGGCAGGACTTGGAGCGCCGCCCGGCGTCCGGGTCCCCCCTGCGCTGAAAGGTGAGCACTCCTGAGGGCAGCTCCAGGTCTTTTAACACTGCTTTTGTACACAGATACACATGAAGAAAATGAAATATTTTACATCACTATGATTGTTTTCTGTCTTTGATTGTGCCAGCCTGCTCAGGAGCAGCGTTATAGACCTGCTGGAAAACTAAACAAACAAACAAACAAGCAAACAAACCCAGCTGTTATTATTCCACACTCTGTTTTCCTACACTTATGTCAGTGTGTCTATTTTTTTTTTCCTGAGCCATGACCAAGCCAGCGGTGGCAGTTTGAAACGGGTGAAATAAAACCCCATAGACTTGCTATAGAGCAGGTATTTTTTTATCGCAGCACTGGAGGTGAGGGGGATTTCTTCACCTAACCCACCCACCTCTGTCAAGTGCTGTGGTTTATTTATACAGTAAGTATTGCTTAATATTGCTATATCGTTATAACATCATCATATATGAACCGAAACTTATTTACATAATGTTATCTCATGGATATAAATAGTTCTGTACTGTGGTTGTGCTTCCCCAATTTAGGTGGTCTTGGAGGTCTTCTTCAACGAAGGCTTAAGGTGTTCCTAACAACTGAACTTTTCAACTTTGTCTTCAGAGCATGCACAGTTATGGTGTTCCTCGGTCCTTCTGGATCTAACTGGTCAAAATTCTTAATTTTGTGGCTAATTTGCTTTACATTTGCTAATTACTAATTAGTACATCCTGCTGCTTCCCAATATAGCTATACCTGTCTATTTTTCAAACTATTCACCTGGCGAGTTTCTGTTTATTTAAGCATTAAGCAACTAGTTAACTATATACTGGCTCCTGCATTGTCTAGAAAATTATGATTCGGGTTATATTGGTATCTTATAACTCAAGATGTACAAGCATCTTGTAACTTTGACTCAAGCTACATAGGCATCACAGGGAATGACACTGTTGGGCGTGTTTATTTTGTGAGGGATTGTGTTAACTGACAGGGTGAATTTGTTATGTGCCAATGTGTTTCCTCTCCCAGATGCGTCTGCCTGCTGCCAGCTAATAAAGGTATAGATGTAACAAACAGAAAAGAGTTTATTCAATATTCAGTTGGTCCTTATGTTATCTTTATGGACCACCCTCCATTTAAATAACACAGTACGTTGAGATTCAGTACAATATTTACATGCTTGACTTAAAAGAATACAGCAAAGGGACTGTGCAGATAACATGACACATAAAACCGTTTGCAAAACGCCATCTAATTTTTAAGCTCCAATGACACTAAGGCTTAGTGGATCACACTGCACCGACTTTGTGGAGCACAAACGGCGAGACAAAGCCGTCTCCACCACCACCCGCCGTCAGCGGTCATCTCCAAGCCAGGGGCACTTCTGGGCCACCTCCGAGGGCAGGAGGAGAGACAGGGACCGCCCGTTCAGAGACACCAAGAGCTGAAGCTGGTCCATGCAGTCCCGCAGGAGCCCTTCTGGGTAGCCGCTGATTTGCAGGTCCAGGGGGCTGCGGTGGCGCAGGAGCCGGTCCGCAAGCCCCAGGCTGCTGGCGGCCAGCAGAGAGGGCGCGTACTTGGTGAAGGCATAGTCAGCCAGGCTGAGCTCCGCCACGCCCGCCGCCAGGCTCCGGGCATCGGCCGCCTCCGCCGCGTCGGCCCCCCGCGCCTCCAGCCGCACCCGGCTGAAGTGCTCCAGGAAGAAGCTGACGGTGGGCGCCGCCAGGTCGAAGTCCAGGCGATGCAGGACGATGCACTCCAGGTTGCGGAGCTGCTGGCGGGTGAAGGCGTCGCAGCAGAGGGCGAGGAGCTCTTTCACGCTAGGAGGGTGCACCTCCACCTGCGGGCGGGGACAGGAGTGAGGACGCTGCCGCCGGGAGCTGGCGCGGAGCCCGGCCTGACGAAGGCGCCCTCAGGCCGGCCTCCGCGGGCCGCCACCCCCGGTGCGGGGCAGCCGGGATCGCCCCTACCTGTTTGCAGGCGATGAGCAGCGCTGTTACCCCCAGGAGCTGGAAGCAGTCGGCGGCCACCGGGGTAGTGGCGAGAAAGCGGTCGAGGATGTTGACGGCCAGGCAGAGAGCCTCCAAGGAGAGCCCGAAATGCCGGTGCACGGGGATGAGCCAGCTGACCAGCTTGCAGCGCGCCTCTGCAGTCACCTACGGCACCGGCAGCGGGGATCAGGCGGGGCCGACCTCGGGCTCCCCCGCCCATTCCCCGCCGCCGGCCCCGCTGCCCCCCCCACCTGCGGCTGCCGGGCGAGCGGCTCCCGCGGCTGGAAGCGGCTCTCCAGCCCCTTGCGGGAGCGGTACCAGCTCTCTCCATAGTCGCGGAAAGCCTGCAGCTCCTGCGCGTTCTCCCCCGCCGCTGCCGCCGCTCCCGTCCCCGGGCGCCGCCGCCGCACCGGGCGCCGCGGGCAGCCTCCAGGGGAGCCGCCGGGCCCCCGGCGCTCCGGAGTGCCGCCGCACCGCCCGCTCGCCGCCGTCACCATGGGGTGGGCGGCCGCGTCGGGTCCGCTCCGGTCGCGGCACTGGCTATTTGAGCGGAGCGGGGGCCGCCAAAGGTGTCACAGCCCGCCTCCCCGGCACCCCGCCCCGCCCGTCCCGTCGTCTGGGCACTTAGGGGATCACCGTCTCCAAAACAAAATCCGAGCCACTGAAATGTCTGTCTCTTCTCTGCCGCTTGCCCTCGGGCAAAAAGACTGTGGAGTCGCCATGTGCCCTCCCGACCACAGCCTCCTCGCTCTCCCGCGGCACAGACAGCAAACCAGACAGCTTTGCCGTAAACCCACAAATGCGGCCAGCTGAAGCTGCCGCCTCGATTTTGCCATTACCAACTCAGGCGTCTCTCCAGCTCCTAGCAGTCCAGCTCAGAACCTCGTGAGCTTTAACAACTACCCATCACTGCCTGTACATAACACTGCCAGTACAGGTCACCAGAAACAGCACAGGAGGACAGCAGGGGAGAAAGCCAAGAATGCTGGAGCTCGTGATGCAATCTGGGTCTCAGTTATGCTTTCATCCATGGACTATTTATGTGACGAGGCACTATTTTAAACAGCTGAATGCAGGGAAATTAAAACAGTTCTGCACTCCACCCATTTATAGTATGCTATTGATGTGGAAAGACCAGGAGAAAGAAAACCTCTTCTGGGTTAAGCACTGGGAAAGATGGCAGTAGGAAACAAGAGCTTCAAGAAGCCAACGACACAGAAGAAAAACGGGAGGAGGTGGGAAGTCTACAGCATGAATAGCAGGAGGAAGAACTCCTCTCCAAAGTGAGGACAGAGACCAGGAGAACATGCTGCCTCTAAAAAACAGAAAGAATACATTGCAGACCACAGCTGAGATTATGGTGACAAAGATCCAGAGATACTGAATGGTCTTGTGTCTGACAAATGCTTTGAGAAAAGTAACACAGAAGTGTTAACAGAAGTCTTTATTAAATAAATAGAGCAAAAGAGAAAGTTCATCCACCATATACAGGCACAAAAGTTGCTCATGTATACTGCAGAAGCAGAAAGCCAGTGTAGCATCTATTTTTTTTGTTTCCTGGGTTTTTCTTTTTTAGTTTT